CTCTCTCTCTCTCCGCGATGAGATAAGAGTTTTTTTTTTTAATTTGAAATTAATGTCTTCGGACTTTGCAAACGAAACACATTTCTTTGCGCGATATTTTTAGTATCGAATTGAAAAAGAGAAAGAAAGTATTTGTGCCGCATTGCTGCACACGTCGGAGAAGAAAATCGCCGACGGCGAATTCTGAAACGCGCGATACGCCGCGCGGCGTTTCGCGAAATCGTGCGAGTTCAGCGTGCGCTGTAATCAATGAAGTGGCACCGGACACCTCTACGAGCGAGGCCTCGCTCAATTATGTCCCTGGGCCATTTAATTAATACACCTATAATTCGCGGCCTCTACGTAATTATATATGCTCACTTTGTGGATACCTGCGTAGATTCGAATAATCTGCGATCTACGCTCGCAGGAAGAAGAAGGACGGGAAAAGTGAGAAAACGGCCGAGGAAAGAGCGCGATCGAGAGAAAAATAAAAGGATTCCTGTCGCCGAACACAGTCGAACTCGCTTTTACGAATATTCGAGACAAGCGTGTGTGTTGCACATTTCGGACTTCGCGGCGTGACGTTTGTTTTTCACCTGGCCGCGAAATCGCCGGCGATATTTTTGAAACTGGTTTAACGCTCGCGACAGGTAGCCGAAGTGCGTGTTTGTTTCGGCTGGGGCATTTCCTGTAGCGCGATTTGCGCACGCTTGTGAATCGCCTGTGATGTTAATGCGAATTTACTGGCGAAGTGAGCACGTCTGAAAGATTCTATCAGCCGAATCTATAATAATCGCGAGTCTCTCGCGACTTTGTCCGTCATTTATTCCGCACGGAATAGTCGGACATTTTCGTTACCAGCTATTGCACGCCAGCGCTTTTTGCCGGTGCTTTGAATTCCTTAGGACAATTAACTCGGAAAGTAACAAACGCGATTTTCGAATTCGTATACAGCCGATAATTTGGAATTCAAATTCTACACATTCTTAAAATTAAAAAATATTGTTGTAAGTTTATATATTTTAAATATTGAACGTTTTTCAGCTTGATCTAAAATATTCAGAAACTTTAAATTCTTTTCATTTCATTCGTATCCTAAAATTCTTGATTTCTCAGACATTTGAATCTTGTATCCTTGATTTTTATCGGATTCAGGCTTTCTAAATCATCGAGCTCCCGCTGTGAGTGATCTCTTCTTTTCATCCGGCAGAGATATTTAAAATTCAGCTTTCATTGCAAATCGCAGTCGGATATTTCGTTATCTACACTATCATATCTGGTAAAAACACGTTTGTATTAATCGAGACTCGGATTAACGATCGACATTCCGCCGTGATTGCGATCTACCGGGCGTGGAGAAAAATGCCAATATAAATCGCCCGTGTAATGCCGCTATCAACATGTATTACGTGGATGACGCTATGTTTGATAAATCGCCACATGCAAATCACACCAGAGAGCGGATCGGTTTCTCTCGGTAGCCTTTCGCAGCTAATTATTACAAATGGACTCTAATCGATTGAATGGAAAAAGGTGTTTGCGTCATACAATACGCAGAGTGAGATTTTTTTTCTGAAAAAAACATTTTCTCTCATACGAGAGATGTGCGGAAAATAAGTGAGAATCTCTCTCAACAATAATGCTCTTTGCTCGACGCATGAAATTTTATATTGAGACATTTTTATGCTGTACCAATAGTCGTATTTTTTAGTTTCTTTATTGCTAAATATTTTATTTCCAGTCGTTTTTAATTTTAAATATATTTTAATCTTGGTGGATTTTTATATTTTTAATTAGTCAAATGAGACTTCGCGAAAACAAAATTCTCTGCATCCTTGATGTTCGAAAAATTGTTATAAGTTAGATGCTTTTTATTTCTTTATACGACAATTAACTTTAATCGGAAGAGACATATTCAGCTATCTGTCAGCTGTTGTGCACCGTAAATTATTCCCCGTGTTCGGCGTCATTATAACGTCATATAACGTATTCGTCATTATTTACATATTTATCTTGAGCTTGGATGAGCGCAGTGAGGACGTGTCTTATTGACGAGATGTGTTTTTACGATTGTAATCTACAATGTGTCGTAAACTTTTGCAGACATAATTTGCTGGAATAAAATGCGCGCCCGCATCAAGCGTTGTCTTCCCGCATCCTCCGAGAAATGAAAATAAATATGTCGATGGTACAACGTGTTCGCGTAACAGTTAATAATCGATCAGATTATAACATCGCTGAACAATTATTTTTGTTTTATAAATTAATTCATCGATAATAAATATAATTGCGAGCGCGATAAAACCGGCATTGCTCCTCCGTTGACAATAGCGGTCTTCTCAATTTGCCAACCGTCATTTGCACGTGTGTTTTCATAAAATCGAGATAATCGAACTTTCAGATCGGCCGCTCATCGAAAATAAGTTATCCGATTGAATATACGTACGGCAGGTTTATCAGACGGCTGTGTCGCGGATGTTTAGCCGTGAATATGTGTACGCGGTCAATATCGTATATGCACACACGTGACCGTTTATTCCGCGTATATGTGTGGTTGGGATCGAAGCCAGTCGCGTGAACGGGACTTAAAAGCGAGAAGGGCCCGAAATGCCCAAAGATTCTCCCGGGCCACCTGCAGCCGTTAAGTCTCAACAGTTGTGGCATCGCACAGCCGCCTCCATATTTCATATTAGCGATAATATATATAAGTCCGGCTACCGTCACGCACTCTCTCTTTTTCTCTCTCATTCCCGCGTCGCCCGACCCTTCGTCGTCCCTCTACGAACCTCCGCTTCTCATTCTAGGATCATTTCTGATGTATGCTAACGAGTCCGTTCGACCCGCTCGATTTTGATAATTAGCAGCTTAACGTTTTATATCGTTTGGGGTGTATTGAATTTACATCTGTCTCTTAAAGTGTATTAATAAAGTGTATTAATAAAAATATGCGTATAAAAGAATAACAATTTTTCTACGCGCATAGATTACGCAAAATTCTCATCCAGCGTGGATTTATTTTGCAATTCAATTAAAAGTATGATTTTGATATATTTTTTCTCATGTTCTACTGTAAATGTCGCGTTTTTTATTACTAATTATTTTTTTAAAGGAATTATTCAAATTATCCTTCAAACTCTTAATCGTTCTGCGCGTCGCGTAGTCGCCTCCGAAAATGGCAAGGTAGAGGAAACGTAGAAGCAGCATAGGATGCGCGCGCGGTTGCTCGCGCGATACACGATACCGTCGCGGGGAATTTGTTTCGTCGCGCCACATTGTTTCGGACAGGAAATCAATACGAAACTTCGCCCCAGCCATAGCACCGCGCGCTATCTGCGATATCTACCTGCGACAGAGTTCTTCTCTCTGCAGAAGTGAAATTCTCGCTTGAAATTTTAACCCATCGATCTGCACGACTTCCGAAAATGACGCGGAATGTGCCAGAAAATATCTGTGCAATGACTTTTATTAATTTAGTCAAAATTGAATCAAAAGTTAATTTATAGGTTGCAATTAAATCTCATAAAGTAAAATAAACAATAAAATCGTTATTTAATCGGATTAAAAAGATAAAAATCAAGCAAATTCCTAGCAAGCGTAAATTGCTTTCAAATTCGTTAGTGATTCGCGTTGTTATGAATTCTTTAAGTTTTCTCTCTTTCTGTACTTATTTTCTTTTCGTCCAATTACGAAAATTACATTATATATATATGTGTGAATCACTGCGACCCATTTCTAAAAATATAAAGTCGAGCGGATAAGATAAAAATATGCTATTTTCCGCTGATAATCTCCTCGCCTCCGATAACTGGAGCCAGCATCCTTTCACGAAAACAAAGTATGTTAACTCTCAATTAGGTACAGAGACACATACGCTAAATGATCGCGCGATAACTTGCGATAATCAGCGAGTTGAAGCGCGCGTTCGTACGGGACATCGTCGCCGATCCGCGATCATAATCGTACTTTATTATTACTGGAAATATCGGAATCGCGCTCGCGGAATTCATTAAAAGGAGCGGAATCAATTTTTCGCGCTTAATCCCGTGAAGCGATAATCGAGCGGCGGATCTCCGTCTCGTTGCAGATCGTGCTGAACTCGATGCACAGGTATCAGCCGAGAATACACTTGGTCCGCTGTCGACACACCGACGACAGCGGCCTGCACATCACCGACCTCCAGAAGGAGGAGCACAAGACGTTTATCTTCCCAGAGGCCATTTTCACCGCCGTCACGGCGTATCAGAATCAGCTGGTGAGTGCAGATGCCTTGAATAACAGTCGATTTATATATTAAAACCGGCAAGTAAATGAGGTTGAAGGGATTGGAGAGATTTTATATTGCTGCACACACATATGTTGCGTATATACGTGTATATGTGTGCGTTGCAACGAGGATTCGAATTTCGTTTTGAAACTTTGCAATTTTTATTTCATCTGGAAACGAGTTTTGGATTTTTTAGTTTGGAAATTTAATGTAAGATATAATAATTATCAAATTTAGAGAATATAAAACTTAAAGGAATATGTTTCCGGTAAAATAAAATAAAATATAATATACGTGTGAATTGCAACAAGGATTCGAATTTCGTTCTAAAGCTTTGCAATTTTTGTTCCATCTAGAAACGAGTTTTGGACATTTTTTATTTTAGAAATTTAACGTAGGAATATAATAATTATCAAATTTAGAGAATATAAAAAGAATATGTTTCCGGTTAAATTTCCAGATAACAAGACTGAAGATTGACAGCAACCCGTTTGCCAAGGGTTTCAGGGACTCGTCGAGACTCACCGACTTCGACCGGTAAGTTTCAAGCTTTCGAGACTCGATTTTGATATGAAAATACGACGGCGATATTTTCTTAGATATCTAGATTCGCATCGGAGTTGAGATTTAAATTACGTGTTTCCGTCTTTGAAACCTGCAATTATTCGCGGCGTCGTATCGGTGGCGAATCGAATAATAAATCCAAACTCGATTAAAATATGCTTTAACCAGTAGCTAATCTGTCCGCGCTGCTCGTCTCTCTTCATGAGAGTTTCAAACCGAACGCCGATCCCGGCAAACGCTTTTCTACATAGTGGTGTAACGAGCAATCATAGCATCCATTTATAACGGCCGGACGTTGATCGAGCGGCTACTAAATTAAAACCTATATTTTCGAATGAAATATCTATAACTCCCGTGTCGGCACGGCGTCGACGCTTCTACTGGAAGGGTTTAATTAAAACGCGATTAGAGTGTCAGCGCATACGTCATCCGACCGGCGATTTCCTCGATTTCTTCTCGCGCGCGAAATACCCCACATCCGAACAGGTTAATTGCTCTTAAAAACAGACTGAAAACAAAATTGCGAGGACCGAGCAACAAAAGGTCCGACGTGTGCTAAAGATTAATTATTGACCGTTGTGTTGAAATTATCTTTTAATTCAAAACGCTCGCTCAATACCATTTGCGGCATTTTGATTATTATTCCCATTTTTTCATAATCTCGCTTCTGCCTCGCGTTTTGCAATGTAAAAGTCCGACCTATCGACACTCTCCTCGATCGTAGCGTTATGGGCGATCATTATATCTCATTAGAACGTCGGCACCTTAATCGCGCCGACTAAATTATCGCTTAGATCTTTTTCTCTCTCGTTCGAAGCGGAAATTTACAACAACGTTAAACGTCGAGCGCGCGGGATCGTGCGTTCATCCAATGTCGAAAATGGGCGCGCGCACGCGACCGATTTCGAAGTTATCCGCGATCATCTATCTGCATGAATGACGACGCACCTGCCCGGTTATGTATTCTCTCTTTCTGCGTTTACGGCTGAGGCGGATACACGTGTGACAGAAAAATATATTTATGCATATGCATGTGCGTATCCTTTTTTTTGTTCACGCTTCGCCATCAGGATCATTGTTAATGCCGATATTACAAGGTTAACCGGCGGCCATGATTAATCGATTTTCGATGCTTGTCGCCCGTCATCGGGGCTGCATGACAAAACAGATTTTAATTTTTTTCCTATCATTCGTCATTATTTCAACAGATGTATTTGGGCGTTTGAACTTTTATCAAGCAAACACTTTGCAGCACTTGAAGCACGAGTGAACGTGAATTCTCGGAGTTTGTCTCTTCTTTTAAAAACTAACTCGGGAATTTTTTAGAATATCAGTATGTAGCGAAGTGATTTAGAGAAATGTAGAAGTATAAGAAATAAATTGCAAAATTAGTATGGATAATGGATTAATTTGATATAGTAACTTGAAATAAGTACAAGGATAAAACACGTTTTTCTGTTGTAATGTCACAAACCACGCCATCGTTTCAAAATTGAGAGTTTTACGTTCGATTTTCGAGTTTCGCTGCAGCTTTACGCTTAAAAATTGATTAGCTCCGAGGGAAGGTAGAGGCCGTCGGTCGCGCTGGTTTCGGATTCGGTACCATATTTTACGAAAAACCGTCTGGTGCTCTCGCACCGCCCATTGATCCTCAGAAATATATTAAGGAACGCGGGCGCGCGTTAAGCGAGGCAGGACTCTCGTCACGCCTCTTCCAATTTGCACGTGATCGCAGCTGGGCCGTGGATGCCACTTTCACGAAAACTCCTGGGCGAGGAGGCACCTATCTCGCGCGAGATCGTTTTCGCGATTAATTAGCTCATATTTCACAACACCGCCGCTCGTAACTCGCGCAATTAAGTGCGCGTGTTTTTCCTTTTTCTTGTTAGCCATGAAAAATCCGCGAACATCGAAATTCGTCGAACGGCCGTAGCGTGATATCGCTAATGGCTTTCTCGATCGGCACCGAAAACCCTAACGGCGCACTTAAGTGTCGCGATTACCGCCTCATTACGAGCGAATAAACAATTTAATTGCATTTTGCCATCTCGCGGAGCAGGTGTCTCACGACAGGTACACCGACAGTCCCGACCAGGCTGAAGCGACGAAAAGAACAAACAAAACGAAAACGAGAGTAATCGAGAAAGAGAAAAGGAAGGAAAGAGGGGGGAAAAGTGCAATTTATTAATACCCAATTTAATTCTCGAGGAACATGCACAATATTTCAGATAACGGATAATTTAAATAGAATAATTTCAGATGGAAATTTGTTCGTATGCCAAGTCTTAATTCTCGGTTATTAATTTTCGAGCCCGTATCCTGAAACTCGGATACTAAATCTTGAACGCTTAATTCCGAAACGTGAACTCCGCAAATTGAAACCTTGAATTCTTGCATCTTTCAACCTGCAACGTCAGATTTTAAACTGCACACTTCTCGCTTTTAGCGCCGGAAAAATGTCAATTAAATGCAAGATTAAGTAGTGTTGCGTTAACAGAATAAATTTTAACGGAATAATTAATTTTCCTGAAAAAATTACATAATGCCTTCGAGATGGAGAAACAAGAAGCGAAAGAAAAGAGAGTAAATGTAAAGCACGGCGAGGGAGAATCTCGCAGAGAGTTTCGGCGGGCAAGACGACTTTATTGGGCGTCCGTTATCGATTCGCGAACACGTTCGCGTACACGGAGTCGATTTGCATAAAACCTTGAATCGCGATCCCGAGAGATCGGCGCGGTTAACAATTTAGTGGGCGTGCTCGCGGCGATGCGCGCCCAGCTACCGGCGTGTCGTTCTTACTTATTAAATGAGGCCGAACGGCCCCGATAGCCGTCGCCGCGAAGAAGTCGGGTCTTCTTTGAGGAGGAGGAGAGAGAGAGCGCCTACGCGCGGCCGGACGGCCGATAAAAGTAACGTGGCTTTTAATTACAGGCCGATTTCAGCACCGTCGCGTCGCCCCGTTGCGCGCGCTTGGGAACGAGTGACGCGTTCGGTTTATTGTCAAGTACGCGCATCGGATTATCGCTTCCTCTCGCTCGCTTCCTTCTGCCCTTCCTGCCGTTCCCTTCGCGTCGCGCCGACGGCGACGGGCAGTCATTAAAAAATTAAGTCGCGCGAGCGCGTCCGGCAAAAACACGCGAACTTCTCGTTTACGATTATTAATAGCCGAAGCGCGCCATCTTCTCGCTCGCGATGTACTCGCCTCTCCCGGGCGATCGCGCATGGCGCGCAGAAGGAAGTCCCGTGTGATGGATCGAGCCGTTCGTGCGATATTTTCATGTACGAATGCTATCGCTCTGGACATATATCAAAGCGAATTTATGCCACTTCCCTGTTAAACGGCCGCCATGCGTAGGAGGCCGTGGAAAACGCTACAAGGATCGCAGGATGCGGAACACCGAAGGTTGCGATGAATTTATGGTAATGGTTCCTGGACCTTCCTCGAATGCTAAAATCCTCGGTTTCTCTGCTCCTGAGGACTCGGACATTTAGGTCGAAATTATGCTAGGCTCCTTGAACGCTTAAATGAGCATTCTAACATCTTTGAGGTTTTTTTTTTTTAGACACAAAGGACACTTTTGTTTTTTGTTCGCCGCATCCTTGAGTTGAAAATAATTTTCAAGACTGGATATTGGCTATTTGCATATTCTCGATTTGGTCTTTCATTCGAAACGCCCTACTTGAAAACTATAATAGTAATTTAAAAAATCAATTTTTTTTTATTACGTGTCTGACGATATATTCATTAATTGTGTATTCCGTGATAATATTCATGCCTGCGCGTACGTTTCATCTTGTTTTTGCAGCGCCGATTTCACGGCGAATCAGACAACAACGAGAAGCGTGTGCATTTTAATGAATCCGCGTTGACGCGAATGGTCGGCGAGCATGATCTCGCCTTCGAATCACTGCCGCGCCACGATCCTCCCCAAATCAGCACCTGCCTAACTAGGTAGGCCGCCTAAATCCCGCACCGTCATTCTAAGACCCGTCTGTTATCTCGAGCACTCAAAAAGTCGATCGGTTCGCCCGCTTTGCATTCCGACGTTGTGAAGAGAAGGGCGCATCGAGTTTCTGTCGAGTTCTCGACCGCTATCGATGCCTGCCTATCGAGAACGCCCCTCTCGTTTCCCGAAATTGCTACACACAGAAACGTCCCCTCAGAAATAGAACTCTTGCTCGAGATGGACTATTGCGGAACAGCGGATAAAATCTCTTAGGGGTCGCTAACACTCCGGCGATAATGCCGTCGCTCTTGGAGTCGGCAGTGCTCGTTTGGAAATCTAATTTTGTTGATTCAGGCTCGTAAGTGCCTAGCATATGCATAGCTGATCAGAAATTAGCGATAGCACTTGATGCGGATTCCTCATCAGTTTCCGTTTGTATTTTGTTTCAAAATAAATTTGCGCGTATTGTACACTAGGAAAAAAATTTAGTGTTTTTAACAAAATTTTATAGTTGAGGCTTTTGTTTTTCGCAAAAATAATTTTTACGTTTTGTTTGGCCAAATAATTTAGTTGCTAGAAAATGTTCGATGAAATTAAGATTTTATATGTAGTTCAAATAACCAAGTTTATTTAATAAAGCAAAATTAGGTTTTTAGTGAGCAATCCAGGTTGAAAAACGTCTGTTAGATGTCTATTAGACGTCTAATACACGTCTTTTCGACCTGTCATTTTTTACCGGGTTAGGGTTCATATTATATATAACAAATTAGTTAAATTAATAAAGCGAAATTATTAATTACAACAAATATTTTTGTTTAAATTAATAAAACTTGTTTTGTTAATATTTTTTACTTATTTATATCAAGGAAAAAATGTTGCTAATAAAGACATTTGTTTAAAATAACTAAATAGATTTGTTTAGGCATATTTCAGCCAAATATTTTTATCATTGTAACAAAAATTTGGTTTCTTTAACTAATTTTTTTCTTAGTGTAGCAGCTTCAAGTCCAATAATTTAATTCTGAT